TTTAGCCTTCAACAGGAGTAAGGAGTCATTGTAAAGCTACTTATTTGTCATGAAAAAGGTTCCTACTTAATATGGCATTTATTTTCAACAGAATTTAACCTTCCTCTCTGTAAACTGCAAACATTACAGGGAAGTCGTCAATAAAATGTCCATTACATATCCTGACTTATCAGACAACTATGTTGGGTAAAACATGTTGGGTAAAACATGTAGACCAGAATATTAAAACCTTGAGGGGCCAGGCTTTGAAAAAGGTTTAATAATCTTAGATAATACAATAAATAATACTGGATAATTATGCTAGAATACAATATATAATTATCTTTTGATCTGTTTTTGTAGAGATAACACAGTAATTACCTGTTCATTAGTTTTTCATGCTCATGAGCCCATGTACTGTGAATGAGAGCTCACATGCTTTCCAAATATGCACTAAGCACACTATCAAGACAAAATGTTTTTACAGCTCTTTATTTTTACCTCTGCACTACAGAATTATCAAAATTATGCAGATAATTTCCCCCCCTGAGCATTATATGATGCTTCAGCTGCTTCTGAACTGGCAGAACAAATTCATACTTGATGGCATGTTCTTAAAACATAATTATTCACTGTATAATGTATTTATCAATTGTTTGTTTTTTTTAACTTCGCCTGAGAACCAAAGGAAGCCAGAAAACTGTTGAGATGCAAAAACAGGTCATTTTTCTTCCTGTGTTTTTCCCTCCCCCCCCCTAATTTATACAATGATGTCACCTAATGAATGTTTGGTGGAAAAACATTACGGTGGAAACAGCCAAATCCATGATAGGAAATAGTCAGACTGTGCCAAGTTCTGTTTTTATTTGCTTCTTCCTGTGCATATCAAAGACACACAAAAAAATGCAATTGTGTCTTTAACCTGCAGTTTGAAACAGAAAAAGTTTAGTAGCCTCCTCCAGCCTTGCATTGGAGCCTCTCTGCTCATGGGTTTCAATGTGTTATCATTTAGATGTTTGTTCCATTATAATGTTATAATGTGGATTCCAGAAGCAGTTGTCAGATTGGTTTCAGGTTTCAGATTTTAAAAACACCCTCTAACACCAGTTGCAGACCATCTGTTTATTGCAAAAACACCATCCAAAGTCAGAAGCTCACCACAGAGTAATTAGCAGTTAAAGAGTCAGGAGAGTTTACACAGATTTTATACCAGAAAAAAAAAAAAAGAAATCCTCAATTATTAATTAAGGTCCTCTCCTCTGTCAGTTTCAAAGCTTTTAACAGCAGCATGATTTCTGAGTGATTTCATCTGCCTCTTGCGACAGGGTTTCCTTCAGTTTTTAAAAAGTCTTAAATGTAGAGAAGCAAAAGTTCATTATTTGTAGCCATTATCTGATTAGCATTTTAACTTCCACCCACAATTTTGGCCAAAAACAGTTTTTATTGATGAGTAGAGTTAAAAGCAACATTTGAGATAGTTTTTGTTTTAGTTTTTTTGTCTTTAATTTTGTTAGCTAGCTGAATGAATAGAAAGGAGCGTAGAGCATAGCCGCCTGTGGCCCAGGCTGCCTGTTACAACTCCAGTCAGGTGCGCAGATGACGTCTGATGATTTCCTTTGGTGTCAGCACAAATTTGACGAATAGCTAACCAATGAGGGTTTGCGCTATATGACTCATCCAATCACACTAGTTTTCACTAGATGTGGATGGAGCCAATGATCTGCATTGGATGGCGCACATGACGTGAAATAGATATTTAAACATTAGACCGAAGCCAAGAGTAACGAGTAAAGCTTGTTTTAAAAATGTAAGGAATAGAAAATACAGATACTTGTGTGAAAATGTAATGAGTAGAAGTCAGAAGAAGGAGGAAAAACAAGTAATGGAGTAAAGTATAGATACCTAAAAAGTGTACTTAAACGAATAGTACACCCAAAACATGATTACCCTTCATTTTCTACTCACTCCCATGCTGAACAACACTCTGGATTACTTTTTTGATATCTCAAATGCATCTGGAGATCTGGGAGGCTTCTTGCTGTCTGCTGACATTCAAATAATGGAGGTCTATGGTGCCCGAGACAG